TTGAAAATTGCCCCATACCCACGCAGGATAATTACCTTTCAAAACATTTCCCAGTGCTCGACATCATAGTGGTAATGGCTCGGCGATATTATAATTTCATTACATAGGGATTACGGTGGCAAAATGATGTATGTTGGAGGCTTAGAAAATTAAGTTACAATGAAAACAAAACCTTTTATGTAAGTTTAAAGCACTTATTTCGATGTAAAATTATACACAATCTCACCCAATTTTTGTATGAATGTCATTGTTGGTAATTTTTAAATTCAACCATTTAAAGCCTTGGTACTAAAACCTACAAAACCTATCTTAGTCCCCGTGGTTATCATGCATGAGGCTCTAGTTCTGTAATGCTGTGTATGGGAACAGATGCATTTATATAGCAGTTATTGCTCCAGTTCGTACACATTACGCAGACAAACCTCTACTAATGAATTGGATCCCCCTTGATCCCTTTGCAGTTGGATGATGAAGACCCATGTCCCATTACAATGGTTATTTTCATCTTCAAAGATTCCTGACTGGTTGTGAAATGTACTGAGCTTTCTGATTTAATAGCACCAGCTTAAAATTTTATCTTCTTGTAACATACGGGCACAGAAGACACTAAACAATTACATGGTGCGTAGAGATCAGTTTCCCCCGGTGTGTGGATGGAATGCAGACAAGAAGTCGAGGGGCAGCCCTCCGAGAGAACGCGACTCGGGGTCACTGGCCTCTCTTGTACATCGTGTTGATGGTACACCTAACGGAAAAAACTAGATTTAATTTTTGAAACATACAAGCTTTTTGGTCCAAGGACTCTTTCCTGTTTTTGTTTCATAATACAAAGAGTTCAACCCAGAGACTCGCAAGGCACTCCCCAGTGAGCTGCATCCCCAGCCCAGGACTCTTTTTATGCAAAGATGAGTTCACCAGTGTCCTACATAAAGCCAATTGGGCTTTTGATTTTATTCGAATCCACTGTATTTTTCTTTCAGTAGTAAAAGCTCAGAGTTTTAGGTAGGGAATATGGTGTAAATGAACACACCCCTTTTGTGACTAATGCTGATCTCCTGCATTTCCCATGAGGATGATTATATCAGCGCTGATTGAGTACCCACGATGTGCGCAGGTATTTAGTCTTCACTGGAACCATGACAGGTGCTACTAATAGCCCGACTTTACATAGACGAAATAGAGAGTTGGAGTAGTGAACGTTCCCAGTGTCCCGCCCAGTGCTGTGGTAGAAATGGGATTTGGGCCCAAGTGTGTCTGACTTCGCTGTCTAGATGTCATACTAGCCAGTACTCGGTAAGGCCTTTTGTTTTTTCATACTTTAACCTGCATCATTACTTCTGAATTACCAAAAAAAGTTCTAGTGTATGACTTATTTGGTATTATTATCCTTAACAATGATAGCATCATTAATTGAACAACTACTGTGTCCATCGTGCTATGCATAATAGCATGTCCAATTTAATCTTCCACAAAACCCCATGAAATAGGCATAGTAATTGCCATTTAGTAAACGGGGAAGCTTCGGTCCATGGAGGTGCATGGACCTGCAGCCTGCTGACAGCCACGCGGTACACAGCGGCGCTCCCTGTCTCCCCAGGGGAGCTGGGCTCGGGAGCCCATGGGTGCTCTTAGCCCCTCTGCAGGAGTCACTCCCAGGTTAACTCCCTGTTGATCTTTTAGCAGCTGCTTGTGTGTCGTGTGTGTGTGTCATATCTACAGCTAAACTGAAGCCGGCTGGGTCCTGTAGCAGACACAGCGGCAGGCTTCTGGCTAAGCTGATTTTCTCAGGTGTCCCGAGCAGCCCCAGTGTTACAGGGGTGGCGGCTGGAACCTCTAAAGGGAGGGACATGCACGCTCACTCTGCTGTGCAGAGCTGACGCAGGAAGTCAGTCGCCCTCAGTATGGCGCGACCGGTTGAAAGCAGTTTTTCAGGGCCTGGGGATTTAGCTCAGCGGCAAAAGCGCCTGCCTGGCAAGTGTAAGGTCGTGAGTTCGGTTCCCGGTACCGGAGAAAAACCAAAAAAA